GCCGCCGTGTCCTCCAGAGGCGTCCCCCGGGGAGGAGACGCCTCAGCGGGACGAGACGGGACGTCACTGTAGCAAAGCTCAAATTGAGACAGATCATGGTCTTTACAGACTTCTGCCACAGAGTGTAGCCTGCAGCTGGTGTTAGACATGTCAAGCCTCTGTTGTGTAGTGACAAAGCATCAACAGAGTCAGTTCACATGATAAACAGTCACTGAGCTCAACTTACCCCAGCCCTTCCTGACAAACTGCACCGCTGCACTTTTATTCCTGCCCTTCTTGTTCTGGAGGGACAGCAGCTCGTTACCTGAGGACAGGAGGACAGAGAGTGTGAACACGTTCAGCCGGTCGGCGGACTGAGAGACAGGAATGTTGCCGCCGTGTCCTCCAGAGGAGTCTCCGGGGGAGGAGACGCCTCAGCGGGACGAGACGGGACGTCACTGTAGCAAAGCTCAAATTGAGACAGATCATGGTCCTTACAGACTTCTGCCACAGAGTGTAGCCTGCAGCTGTTTTAAACATCTGGACACAATGAATGAGAACAAACAGCAGCGAGTTTTTAATCAAACAAAACGTGCATTTGCTGGGGACTATTTTCAGCGGCGGATTAATCCACATTAATCCAGTAGATCTGTGTGTGTGTGTGTGTGTGTGTGTGTGTGTGGACTGTGAACGCCTCCTCACTTGTGCTCCTGCAGCTTCCCGCTCCGTACAGTCTGGACTGGATGAAATCCTCCGCCGTCTGCTGCTGGAAGGACGCCGCCGCCGCTCGCTCCTTCACCGTGGTCACCATGTAGTTTCCCTTCACACTGACGCACAGGAAGCAGTTCAGTTACAGGATCCTCAGTATGATTAAAGCCTGTGAGTGAACATCATTCTCTCAGCTCACATTATAGTAGTGACTGAAAATTCACATACTTTCGGGAATGTGGCAGTTTCCCGCTCCTCTTCCTCTTCTTCTTCCTCCTGCTGCTGTCGTCCTCTCCCGCCTCCTCCTCCTCCTCAGCTGGGTGAGGACAGTTGGGGAGAAAACAAGTCAGTCTGAAGCTCAATGTGCTGCTCTACGGCCGAGAGCTAAAGCTTTAAACTGGAGTGAGTGGGAGGGTGAGTGTTTCTTTACCTTCATCCTCCGACTGTTTCTGCTCCCTACAACATGAAGCAGGTTTCAGTGTTCAGTGAGCAGAGAGAGAGGAGATCTGGCACAATGAGTCAGGTGGGTAAACTTACTTTGAAGGAGCCGAGTCGATTTCCTCCAACACGTCGGTCGGTAACAGTTTTCTTTTCTGTGGCCGATGAATAAATGAGACAGAGTCAGAGTCAGACAGCAGTGCATTGTGCTACACGCAGACGTCAGCGTCCAGTGGGTGCTGAGATATCTGAGTCTGGACTGAAGCGGTGGACCGACCGTCTGACCGTGGCACTGTGCTTAAACATTACGATGTATCACCACGAGCCGACTACTTGATTAGTCGACCAACAGAACAGTTGTTTGTTGTTCTATAATCGATCTTTTCACGACTCAAAATGTGACACAAACAACAACAACAATCTGCTGACTGTTTTCCACATTAACGGATGAAAATGATCGTTAGCTGTAGCTCTTCTTCAGTCGTTTCACAAGGTGGATGTATCACTGGCTGCTCTGGGTTCATTCAAATGTATTAGCATTAAACCATATGGGAGGGCAAATCTCCATAAATAAATACACAGACAGATTCAGTCACAATTATAGCCCATATAAACTAAACTAGTGTTTCCAAATGTATTAAAACCACAGCACATTACTGTATATTAAAAAGTAAATGTTAAATATTGGTTTTGACTGAAAGACGCAAACAGGATGTTTATGAATATATATATTAATAGATCATTTTATCACACACACACACACACACACACACACACACACCTTCTGTTCCTGGAATAACTCCTGCCTCTTCTTCCTCTTCTCCTTCAGCAGCTCTTTTTCCCTGCAAACACAAAATATCAGTTGTTACCTTATATTATATATATATATATTATTATTATTATTATTTTGCAGCGTTCTTGTCACACCAAACTCCATTTAATAAGTGTCACGCCTTAAAGTTTGACTTTATATAAATTCAGAATTTTGTGTAAACACTATTCACATATCGGCATTAATGCAGTCCATTACCAGCGCCTTAATACAGGATACATCAACATTTCCTCCCGTCTCGAGCCGAGACTGCGCGTTGCGGTGGCCAGGCGGCCGCGCTGTGAGCTCGTGAAACAATTCCACATTTTATCCAAAAAAACTGCTGCTCGGCGCTAAATAAGTGAGCCGAAGTGAAAAGTGATCCCCAATAAATAATAACATGCGAATAATAACTCGTTGTGGTGAGTAAATCCCGCTTAAAAGCAAAAAAAAACCCTAAAGACGGACTTTTTTGAGTGGAGTTTGGTTCAACGTTCTCTCCATAAGCCAGAACCAGCCAGCTACCTTCTGGCCGAGTCCAGCGCCTCCTTCATGCTCCGGAGAGCCGCAGCCTTTGAGTCCTCGAAGGTCACCTCTTCTGGAGCCTCGTCGTCGCTGGACTCGAGAGTTAGACTGAAGCTTTCCGTCTGTTTCTGTTTGTGTGTCTCGCTGTCCGCAGACTTTGAGGACGACGCGGGTTTCACACGTTGTTTCTTCGCCATGTTTGCTAGTGAAGAGACGTCATCACGGCCGCGCCACACCGTGACGGTAATAAGAATGCGACAGCCCTCCAGTGGCGGGAAAGAGAAATAAACGTTAAAAACGTAAAAAAATAAAGATTTATATTAATTAATTAATTAATTAATTAAAATATGTATTTTAATTATTATTTCTGTTTGAATTTATTAATTTTTACTTTGTTTTATTATTCGATACTGACATTTTATATTTAAATATTTAATTTGTTTTCTATAGTTTTATTTATTTCTTTAAGTTTCTATTATAATAGAAATAGATCTTGTATTTTTTTTCTATTCTATTCTCACTTACTGTGTATTCTCTAATCCATTGTGCTGTGTTAATAAAGCAAAGTGAATAAATAAATCAATAAAGTCTATCGTATCTTATTTGAATTATCTTATTAATAACTGGTTTAATAAACTACATTAAAGTTTTGTATAAAAACGTTTTTTTATTGTTGTTGTTATTGTTTTTTTTTTTGTCATTTACATTTTATAACGGTTCATACAATACTTTTATTCTGAAAACCAAACCGGAAAGCCTGTTAGGTCCAACTACAGTGCGCTCATCATCAGCAGGTGCCGTCCGTTATCAACAACAACAACAACAACAACAACAGCATCAGTTACCGGGACTCCCGTTCCTCCAGACGCAATGCACCGACTGCTGCTCGCCCTCCTGTCCGCCTCCGGAGCGTCTGTCCTCGGCCTCCCCGGGCAGGGCGGCTCCCCCCCGGCCGCCGGGCCCTGCCTCGCCCCGCTGCAGTGGGAGGGCAGGTGGGTTCTGTACGACCACGGCACCGGGAGGAACAGCCGGGCCGCGGTCTCCTACGACGGCCTGAACCAGAGGATCCGAGTCCTGCAGCAGAACAAGAAACACACCCCGTGTCAGAGGTAAGAGGAGAGATTTAAATCTGGGCTCAATCTCAATGTTTCAGGTCTTTATAATATAATAATACATTTATATTTATATATATATATATTATTATTATTACATTATCTTTATCCAACCCTCCCAGTAAACACATTAAAGTACAAACTGGATAAAAAGGTACCAAGAATATATGGATTGAATACATAAAATAGGCTACATTGATTTACAAATAAAATATATAAGAGGAAAACAGATATATATATAATAAACAAAACGTGTATAGGATCCATTCAATGATTCAATATAGTCCAATTTCAGGATATTGGCTTTGCAATGTATTAAAAAAAAAACATACTTTCTTATTTGTTCTTGATTGATCTTTAAAATATATATTTTGAACATTTTAACAGCGCCACTTTCTAATAATGTACCTTTAATGTAGAGTTACTAAGGGCTGTCAGTGTCAGTGAATCCATTACTAAAGCTTTATGCATCATTTATAAGTCATTATTAAGATTGTGAAACATCCGTTTGGCTCATAGGGGCCAGTTTATGTTTATTATTGTCTTTATTTGATGGAGCAGCTCAAAGAGAGACAGGAAGGTGGGGAGAGAGAGGGGGGTAAAACTTAATTAATGCTGCAGGATATGGTAAAAACATTATATTAGTTGATTAGTTATCAGATATTGTGGTTCAGTTAAATGGGAATGATCATGTTTGCATCACAAATTGATTTTTTTTTAGTAAAAATCAATGATTTTTTGGGGAGTCTGTAGCAAACAAACCTGTTTTCTTAAATCTGGAGGACATTTGTAGATCAGAGAATCTCTGCAGCTCTACTGTTCTTCATTATAACACTGTTTGTCACATTTTACCTTTAATAAAAAAAATATTACAGCTCCTGTGATTTGCATATTGTACTTGGTCAAATTGCAATTTCAATAATATTTCTAATAAATGTGCAGCCATATACTTTAGTCTGTATTCATTTCTTATTCATCATAATATATATACATAATATATACGTTTAATTATACAAAAACAACAAAAATAGACAGTATATCCAACAATAATAATCACACCACAAGAACTTATACACATGCACACAATACAAAAGTGTGTAGATCTTTTAAAGCCATTGTCCAATCAGTTGAAGGTGTTTTTTCACAACCTGGCAACCCAAATGTTATTCTTATTAATGGCTCATAACTGATCTATAAAGCAAACACACTTATTAGTTATTAGTAACGAGCTATTATAAAAGCATTAAAGGCTCTTATATTTATAGCACCATTTTCAGTACAGCCCATAATAACCCCGCAGTGCAGCAGTGTGTTATTCACTGCAAACAAACCAACCCCGACTCTGTGCCAGGGCTCAAATCTGCAGTTGAGAAATATTCTGTGGCCGGTAAACGAGAACAAAGCCTGCTGATCGACTTTGGTTTGTTTAGTTTGCAGTGTGGCTTCACAACACACTGCAGTTCCTCTAACGGCCACTAGAGGCTGGCTGCAGGAGTGAGTCTCCATAATGTCCCCATACTTTACAGCAGAAACAATGTTTACATGGTACCAACAACTGTTTTGGTCTCTATAGCTAATAATCCCAACTGTAAGTGGGGTGAAACAATCCCTCTGCCCTTTAGTTAATGCAAACAAGACTGGAAAAAGGTTAATTCCTTATATTCCCTATTATGTAATATGTTGCTGTCCAGAGTCACAACATCAGATGTGGTGAATAACACATTGTTCACAGGTATTTCAATACATTGCAGGATGTTAATCATATTGATTGTATGCTTCACGTGCGAGAGAAGAGACACAAGATGAGTTTTTAAAACCTAACTGAGCACAGATACCTGCAATGATTGGCTCAACCCCGTCCAACACCACTGAGATGAACTGTGTGTACAGTAATGTGTAACATATAGTGTGAAAATCTAAAATCTGGAGCTCTGTGCAGCCTTTTTAGCCTATTTTATCTTATAATTATGGCTTGATGGCACATGTACTGTATGGTTAAGTCTCACCGCCCTCATCAACCTCGTTTCCAGCAAAGACACAGACACAGAGATGAGCTGGTGGAGAAAGGGCAGATATTTTCCTCAGGAGCTGGTGGAGATCTAAAGGTGAAATCAAGGGCATAATATGTCCGATAGTGTGTTCTCAGCTCATTCTGCTACCTCTTTCTTTGCATGTGCTCAGGTTCTTCGAGTACATCTTCCTGTACCAGAGCATGGTGATGTTCCAGATTGACCAGAAGACCAAGGACTGCTCTAAGATCGCTCTGACGGAGGCCTGGGATCCCTTCGACATCCCAGACAACTCCACCTTCGAGGACCAGTACCTCATCGGAGGTCCCGGGGACAACGTGGAGGTTCAGGAGTGGTCAGACAGGAAGCCGGCCCGCCAACGTAAGTCCAGGCAATCCCTTCATATGAAAATGTATCGTACTCCTTCCTGCTGAGCTTTCTTCTTTCATCCCCAGCAGCTTTTACCAGATTTAAAGAGCAGCTGGTGGAATAAAAACCTCCAGTTCCTCTTTGAGCTGTGCCATAATCTCTGCCCGTCTCTCCACCAGATGAGACCTGGGTGGGCGTTTACACCATGAAGGACTGCTACCCGGTGCAGGAGACCTACACCAGGAACAGCAGCGTCACCACCTCCACCCGCTTCTTCAACCTGCAGCTGGGCATCAGCGACCCCGACGTCTTCACCCCGCCCAGCACCTGTCAAGCAGCTCGGCCAGAGAGGATGCCCGAGTCCGACTGCTGAGGCCTCGCCAGAACCTCGCCTTTGACCCCGAAATCACTCCCTCGTCCCCTCATTCCCTCGTCCCCTCATTCTCCTCGTCTGATGTAATGGACACTCAATTTTTTATTTAGCAGCAAACTGAAATGTCGCACTTGTTTTTGTGTCATCACTTACGCCCGCCCGTTAACTTTTGTACGTATAAAATCAGATTTTTAAACAAATGTAGTGAACATACTATTCCAATGTGGGACTCTTTAGACATTATGTAATGCATAAATGTCCCACTCTGCGTCTGTAGGGTAAATAAAGTGCACTATACGCTTATAATGGAGTGATTTCGGACGCAGTCAGTGTCTAGCGTTTTATAGAATTGTTTGTTAATTTGCTGCTAATTTGCTAAAACAGTTATCAGGACCAATGAGCCCTGCTAGCTGCAACATAACAAACTAGCTCACAACTAATATCACCAAGTGGTTATATTAGGATTAGCTTCATGCTAAAAAAGTAACTTGAAGTGTTTTTGGCACTGTTCATTGCTACCGGGTGAACAGTTTCAGTTTCAGGCAGTTTGATGAATCCACATATTTCATGGAACAAATGAAGTGCCTCATAAACATGACTGGACACAATAATATGAATTCAGAATCAGGTGTTGTGGTTTTTAGTTTCTTTCAGATTTTATTTTCCTCAGACGTGCAGAGATCTGTTTGAGGTTTGTTGTAGATGTGTTTCCTTGTTACAAACAAGTGTGTGTGGGGTTAGAAACTCATTGTCACAATGTCGTGGTAGAGAAATGCCCGATGTCTTACATTAGTGAAGGACCTCATATAAGATGACTGCAGTGTATAAAAGAAAGTACAATTGATCCGATGATCATAAAAAGACACTCTGCATACCTGTTTGTGATTTTCTTTCTTCTATTATAAGCGTAACATGCTGGATTTTCCATTTAAAGGAACCTATTTGTGACTTCTATCAGCTGTCACCAAGTCACAGACTCAAACTCTATATATAAATACAAATGTTCAAACAATTCATTAAACAGCCAGAAACACACTATAACAGCATTAGCTGTCTCACCTTGAAGGAGCTTTTTCTTCTTCACCAGGATCTGTGCCAAACAAGTTTACTAAATGAACATCATGCTGTATGGAAGAAGACTGAAACTAGAGACTGAGACCATAAACTCATTCAGGAAACTGTTTACTGAGTTCAT